AGCATCCAGATGAATGCACCTGCACATGCAGCGTCCAGGTGAACACACCTGCACATGCAACGTCCAGGTAAACATACCTGCACATGCAACGTTCAGGTGAAAACACCTGCACATGCAGCATCGAGCTGAACACACATGCAGCGTCCAGGTAAACACACCTGCACATGCAGCGTCCAGGTGAATACACCTGCACATGCAGCGTCCAGGTGAACACAACTGCACATGCAGCGTCCAGGTGAACACACATGCACATGCAGCATCCAGATGAATGCACCTGCACATGCAGCGTCCAGGTGAACACAACTGCACATGCAGCGTCCAGGTGAACGTACCTGCAGTCAATTCATCTGCAGGAAAGTTAAATCTAACTTCGTCCGTTCTAAGATCTGAGTTCATCTAATAAAACAAAGTGTGTTTGTTTACTCAGCATCCACACTTTTCCTACTTTTAATGTTCGGCTCATTCAACAGAACTTTTGGTTTTTGTAGCTTTTAGGCTTTTCAGAATATTTTACTTACAAATATGTTCCCAGTTGAAACACAGAGATCTCTTAATTTCTTCAAAAACACTGTTCTCTGTAAAATCTGCTTCAGCAGACTCGCTCAGTTTTTAGCTTCTTATGCTACTTTTAGCTTCTAGTTAGCCTTTTGGTACTTTTAGCTTTGAACTAGTCCTTTGCTGCTCAAGTTTTTAGCTAAACTTCTGGTGCTTAAACTAGTCTTCTGTTGACGTTTTGTTACTTTTAGCTTCTGATCGCATCTTTGACCCACTATATTCACAACACAGGCTGTTGTTGCACAAAATATATTGATTATATTAAAGTAAAAGTCGACACATCTCCTCTAATTTTGTCTTTAGAGATCAGCGACTTGTAGGGTTGTGTTGAAGTCCACAGTTAAAGAAAAACTCATCGAGTCGAGGTCCAATCGTTACGACTGTGGTTCTGAACATCCCAGAATCCTCTGAGCTTGTTGTGTGTAGCTGGCGTTGGTTAAAGGAGCGCATCGCCTGCCTCTCTTCTGCTTTCTAACCGTTTATCAGCTCATCAGAAACAGACTGGGCTTTAATGGAGCAAACATGCTCAAGAAGTTAACACCTAATGTCCTGAAGTTGTCTTTGTGTCTACAGAGGTCTATGTTTTAATATGAAATGTTTGTAAGCAGGGGTGATCATTTAAAAGAAAGCAGTAAATGAGTCAGGGTGTGACAGTTCAAAAAGAAAATCAATGCCAAACAGTTGTTGTGTTGTTGTTTTTAGACAAACAACGAGCTGTTGTCTCTCAAATCAAGAAGCAGAAAGGGAAAAAGATAAAAAGGCTCTAAAGTAGAAGCACAGTAAGATTGTCATTTCCTGGAAACTAAATTAAAATATAAAATGTTCTCATTTTACGCTTCGTCTGTTCACGCCGATGCTTTGGTGATTTTTAAAATGTCAACGCTCCGGTTGTTGGGAGTCTTCTTTAAATGTTTTTAAGAACACACACACACAGTCGCTCTCTTCTCAGACAGGTTGGCGGTTGAGCGGCTGCTTCCATGGCGCCGTTACGGTTTCCACGGTGACGACTTTAGTTCATCTAGCTGCCGTGACAAACGAGCGCGCAGACACAAAACTCTCGTCTTTCACCGTTTTTTTTTCTTCCCCTGCTGCGAGCCGGACAACTGTAAATAGAACAGAATAGAAACAGCCTTTATTGTCCCACAGAGGGGAAGTTCAAGTGTAACAGAACTAACGTTTGTAAGACCCAAACGAATCACGTGCACACGGTAAAAACCTTCAATCCTACAAACACTTCCTGCTCAACCGAAACATCTGGAAAGAAATGCGTAAAGACGAAATATTTTCCCGTACGGTTCAGGAGTTGATGTGAACTGAATGCTTTACAGAGAAGAACCTCAGTTTTCATTAAACTGTCTAAATTAAATTTGTTATGAGGTGAAATGTTTTATTTTTGTGTCAAAACTTAATAAAAAGGCGTTTATTTTGCACATATTGTTTACTGTTTTGACAGTTTTTTTTAATCGTGAAAACGGGTATTTTATCTCACTTTTCTGTATTTTATGTGTATTTTCCTGCACGGTGTCGACATTAAAACTCAAAGTTTAAGCGTTTTCTTTGTTTGGGTTAATTCACGTCTTTTATCTTCTGTTGTCTCTCAGATCTACACTCGTTCAGTGATCGAGCCTCTTCCTCCTCCTTCGACCAAAGATGCGGCCACCTCCCCCATCTCCCCACCAACCGCCGCCGCCGTCACCCCACCACCCCCCTCAGAGGCGGCCCCCGGCAGCCCTCCCAGCGCAAGCCCCGCCCCCGGTCCATCCCTGCCCCGCTCGCAAGACAAAACGAAAAAGAAGAAAATGTCCGACGAGGAGATCCTGGAGAAGCTGCGTAAGTTTCACGCCACAAGCCGAAGGTGGTCTCAGATCTGCGTCCGCCGAGCCGAACGTTCCTAAACTACGGCTGCGGTCAGCCGCTGGTTAGACCCGCACCAGAACCACCACAGACTATTTCAGTCTGTGAGTCTCAGTTTATCTTTTATTTCCAGTCCTGCAGGACCTGATTCCAGCAACTGTTTTTTTTTTTTTTAAATAATATTAAAGGAGAACAAAGCTGTCTTAGAGGTAACACTAAAATATGTTAATATACCAATAATTTGCTCATCATAAAACTTTACCAAATTGGGTTCTATTTATAAAAAATAATTTTATTTACCGTACCGTACCAGGCTTTAGAGCTAAATTATATGCCATATTTTTCGCCGTATAAGTCACACCTTTTTGCATAAATTTGCAAGTCCTGCGACTTATACATCGAAGCAACTAATATACATTTTTTTCTCATATTTATAACCCAATTTTTGGCTAAGATCTGACAATTTCATTCATTCTGACATAAAAAATATTAAACATTAACGTTGCAGCTGCTAGAGGGCCCTCGACTTGTATGGCAAGCCAAGTGTCTCACTAATAGGTAAAAGTGTCTATTAATGAGACACTTGTTTTGCCATACAAGACACCTTCGTCTGGCTGCAGAACTCTTGGAGCAAACGTCAAATCAGCTGCATTTCGCCAGGCGAAATGCAGCTGATTTGACCGTCAAAGTGCATTTATTAAGGAAAAGTTCAGCTGAGACACACCTTTACTATAATGCCAAGCAAACAAATAATTGTTTTAGGTGGTTACCTTGTTAAATTTAGACAAAATGCACAGTGAGTCCTCCCTCTGCACACTCCCGCTTCCGCGAATCGATTTTTGAAATGCAGCTGATTTGACCGTCAAAGTGCATTTATTAAGGAAAAGTTGAATTGAGACACACCTTTACTATAATGTCAAGCAAACAAATAATTGTTTTTAAGTGTTTATCTTGTTAAATTCTTGTTAAAGTCCTCCTGTGCACGCTCCTGCGGCCGCCATTTGATTTTTGGCACAACGCCAGCCCATGTTTCCGGGTGGTCAGCTGTGACACATAACAGATGCGACCTATATGGCAAAGCCATGTATTTATGTGTTTTCCACTTTATTAGACAAATTTGGACTGATGCAACTTAAACGGCGGCAAGTACGGTAGAAGCTTTTTAATGTGAGGGTCAACCAAGGCTGCAATTATTACTAACTAAATGAACCGTTTTTTGTTTTTATTTAATATTTCAGGCATAAATTTGAGTTAATTGACAGTATATTGAGCTTTATGTTCAGAGTTTTTACAGATTTAAAGAAAAGATGAGAACGCATGCTGCGTTTTGGGGGCGGGCTGCGAGTCTAAACACAAACCTGTCTGTTTTTAAATCATTTAGAGGCGTTTAAAAATTAAAAAGAAACTTTTCTCCTCTGAATGAAATGTTTAGATTGTGTAATTCATGAATAAAAATCTGTATATTTTTAAACCATCATGCCTGTCCAGATGTGCTCAGGTCTCCCTCTGCTGGTAAGACCAGGACACTGTCTGTCTGCCTGCCTGTCTGTCTGAATGATTGACAGGTCTGAGTTCCTCTGTCCCGCCCCCTTTCTGTGCAATCCTCACATCTGATTGGTCGTTCTGTTTTTATCCTGGAGTCTTTTTCCTGCCCTGCCTCAGATTACTGAACTGGAGGTTCTGTTGGTTTTTACTGGTTTCACCTTCTTTGAACTTGTGTTTCTTCTCATCAGCGTCGATTTCCTCAGCTGTTTATTCCTCCTCTGTTTTCATCTCCTCTGCTCTTCCTCCCGCTCTGCATGCTGGATTGATCAGAGTTTGATGAATTTAAAGTTGAGATTAAAAGGAGAGAAGAACGCCCGACCGTTCCGTCCACAGAACATCTGGATTATTTTTAAATTAACATGAACCGTTTTGTGTTTTCTTTCTTTCCTTTCTTTGTTTTATTTGTTCTGTTTCTTAGTCTTTTTTAATTTTGTCCTCTGTCTCATCAGGGACAATCGTCAGCGTGGGAGACCCCAAGAAGAAATATACACGCTTTGAGAAGATCGGACAGGGGTGAGGATGAAACTTATTCACAGGCGTAGCTTTCCTTCGAGGAGTGCATCGCACACGCTGCCGTTTACTTCACAGTTTAGACCAACGCATTTAAATTTAATCTTATTATTTGTAAAATTATCAGTTATTGACATTTTATGTTGGCTCAGGTCCATTAACTGCGGTGGCCCTCATCAATCAGTTGGACTCCAAAAGTTCATCAGTTGTAAACGTTCACCCAGTGATTACTTCTGCGATTTTTATCAAAGTAGTTCCTTGGATTCATGAAATATTTTGCTAACAGACAACAAACAAGCGCACAGACAGAAGCAGAAACCAAAAAAATAATGACTTAGTTTATAAAAACTCTGAGTTATATCTAAATCATGAATTTTGTAACCCTGCCCAAAGCTGAACTAATTTTTAGTTTTTATTAAAATGTTTCTAAAAATGCTAAATTGACCAAATGACACCTTTTATTTGTGCTTAGCTGTTACAGAAAATTAAACATCGTGTATTTAATTCAGATGCATTGTTTTTTTTTTTTACTTCTCTGGGGTCACTGGAGTTTTTATACGTGTAAGAATCACAAACTAGATTTTAAACACGAGGCTGTAAATTCAGAATAACTAACGATTCACAGGGATTATAAATAACAAACGTGTTTGTTTACATACAAACATTATTACAGATGTTTTCAGGTCTATGATGAATATGTAGAGTTTTAGTCTGGTTTTTTTTAATTTTAGGTTAAATTTTAAGGTTTAATTAGAAACACAGCTGCCTGAAAGCCGGTTCATTTGGTTTGTAAGAATTGTTTTTGCTTCTGCTGTACATGAAAACGTTTATCCCTCAAATAAATCTTTACAAAATCAACACCGTGCTGCACCTACAGGACGACGTGCAGGTTTCTGTTCAACTGGAGCTCGTCTTTCTGTTTTCAGGGCCTCTGGAACCGTTTACACGGCAATAGACATCGCCACGGGACAGGAGGTGGGTTTTCTTTTATTGCTCTAGGTTTTATTCTCCTTCAGATCAAAGTTTACGAGCAGAAGAAGATGATTTAACAAAAAGGGTTGAACTAGACCATCTCTGCAGAAACGCCTTCAATCATTCAGAGACAGAAATGGATTTTTTTTAGTTTTGTAATGACGTCGTCATCGCAGAGCTGTTAGTTTCTTCACTGATTGATTTCAGTGTTTGCAGCTGTCTCGTGAAGACAACAGAGCTCTGGTGTTGGACAGGAAGTTCTGAGGAAACGCAGCGTAGTGCCGACGAAAGTGCTGAGAGGGAGAGAAAATCAGAATCTCAGGAGTTTAACTGCACGTGTTTGGGTGAAACATTTCTGTTTTAAAGAAACACGAAGACTTGAGAACATCCGGAGAGGTCGTGGGTTGGTTCAGGGTTTCCAGTAAGTCCAGTTGCGGTTCAAGCAGGAACTGGATTAAACTCGGGGTTTATTTGCTGAGACTGAAGCTAATCCTCACCTTCACTCTCAGGATTAACCCGCCTGCTCCGTTTAACCTGTTCCCTCGATAACAACCTTTCACCGGCTGCTGATCTTTCTCCTTAAAGTCTTTCCATGCTGGTTCACGGTCATCTGTTTGAGTTCACTTTTATAAATATCACCACACAACAAATATCATCTCAGGTACAAAAACATTCACGTGGATTATAAAACGCCGTCCAAAGAGGCCAGCAAGTTGTAGTAATCTTCCATCCTGAGCAGCAGGTTGGCGACAGTGGAAAGAAATGACTCACTTTTAACAGGAAGAAACCTCCATCAGAACCAGACCCAGGCTCAGGACTGGCAGGGGTTAGAGAGGACAGTTAACACAGAACAGCTGCTCCAGATGTCGTTTCTGCGTGAGGAAAGGCAAAGAAAATCACGTGAATGATAGAAATAATTATAAACACAAGCACGAAGAGTGGAGCGAGTAAAGACAGCAGCAGAGTGACGACATGTGACCCGTCACGTCGAGGTTAAGTCCCAACGTGGTTTGTAGAGAGAATATAGTGCATCGGTTGAAATATTTCTGATCGTTGCATTTTGTCAAACTTATCCTTGTATGAGGGTCCCTTGAATGAAATGTCTGAAACATATTTGTAAAGAATGTTTTGAAGCGAACAGCACCAACAACTAACGGCGATTTTGAGCAGAAAAACCTTCAAGTTTATTTATTCTGTGCGCTGGCAAAGCTGTTTATCTTTTTATCTGGGAAATCCCAACATCCAAATATGGTTTAAGGTTTTCTCTTTTTAATGATGTCAATAAATCCTCATTAGAGTGTGGTGAAGATAGGATCCAGAGCGATTTTCTATGTGTATTCCTGATTATTACAACAACTCCAGCCATATCTCTGGAGCTGCTGAAGATATGAAGATGATCAAAATGAAGCTTAAACAAACAGAAATCTGAAAATGGGCTTAATTCTTCTGATTTGATACTTGGTTTGATGTGATGGATGCAAATGGAGTGATTTTTTTTTTCCCCCTATAGAAGCATAACTGTAAGGGATAGCTCAGGAAACCCAAGCCAACCCTAACTATAGGATTTATCAAACAGGAAAGTCTTAAGCCCAGTCTTCAAACTGGGCAATGCGTCAGCCTCAGACAGAAACTGGAAGTTGGTTCCACAAGAGAGGAGCCTGATAACTGAAAGATCTTCCTCCCATTCTGTTTTTGGAAACTCTAGGAACAGCGAGTAAGCCTGCAGCCTGAGAGCAAAGTGCTCAGTTAGGAAAATATGGAACAATAAGATCTGTAATGTAAGATGGAGCTAGGTTGTTGAGAGCTTTGTAGATCAGAAGTAAGATTTTGAATTCTGTTCTGGATTTGACACGGAGCCAATGGAGAGAAACTAAAACTGGAGATATGATCTCTCCAATCAACTCTCATTAAGACTCTGGCAGCAACATTTTGTATCAACTGAAGACGTTTTAAAGAAGTATTTGGACACCCAAATAATAAACCATTGCAATAGTCCAGTCTAGACATGATAAAGAGCTTTTCTTCATCTTTTGGGACAGTATGGTTCTAATTTTAGTGACGTTGTTCGGGTGAAAAAGTATTCCTGGTGTGTTTAGTTTTTTATTTCTTTCATGTACGTTTCTCTCTCAGGTTGCCATTAAACAGATGAACTTACAGCAACAGCCCAAGAAGGAACTCATCATCAACGAGATTCTGGTGATGAGGGAAAACAAGAACCCGAACATTGTCAACTACCTGGACAGGTAACAGATGATTAACAGCAGCACAGGACAGAATTAGATCGTGTTTTAGTTTCGTTTGGAGTTTTGTGGCATTAGTGTTTTTGTTTTGGAGCTTTTAGGCCTCAGCCAAACTCCAAATGCCACAAAACTCAAGTAGGTTTGAATGAGACCAGACACCGTAAGCATGAAGACAGTTTTTATAGATTTTTATCACGTTTATATATTTTTTTGCCATAATGTTGCTATTCTCAGGACAAAAATCCATTTTAGTGTCTGTTTTATCTCCTCCAAAAGATGGATTTGGTGCTTTTATCTGCTTATTGGTTAGTTTGTCTGAACCGCTCTGATGGGTTTTATGTTCAAACACCCAAACTTATTAAAAAATAAGAATGGAGACAAACACACAGCTCCCAGTTATCCTCGTTAAACCCAGACAGAAAGAGAGATGCTCTGGAAAATTTCAGATGAAACAATAACTCTACCGAGCTGCATCCAGCTCAGTGTGTGCGCACGTTTTTTTCTCTTTTGCAAGGTTGCTAATCTGTTTACGAAGATTTAAACAAATATAGATTCTTGTTTTTCATCTAAATGTGGTGGTTTGAAATCCGTTTACGTGTTTTCTGGTTTATGGAGCTCAGAAAATGAAGAACGAACATCAAGAAGCATAATAAGTTCATTAAATGATTGCTGGTCTCAGTAAATGAGCTGAACTTCGGCTCGAAATGTATTTGAAGTTCTGAAAAATACTGGAATGAGTTAATAAATAAAGTGATATCCAGATGTTATATATGTATATATATATATAGTATAATCTGTGACAATGTGGCGCTTGTTGTTTGGTGCAGCTACCTGGTTGGAGACGAGCTCTGGGTGGTGATGGAGTACCTGGCCGGAGGTTCTCTGACAGATGTTGTGACAGAAACCTGCATGGATGAAGCTCAGATCGCTGCCGTGTGCAGAGAGGTAAGAGACCTGAGACTTTAGGTGGTTCTGGTTTTCTCGGCATGCGAGCGATGTTTGGTGGAGCTCATTGGGTCCGTTTTGTCCCTGTGCAGTGTCTGCAGGCGTTGGAGTTCCTCCACTCGAACCAGGTGATCCATCGAGACATCAAGAGTGACAACATCCTGCTGGGGATGGACGGCTCCGTCAAGCTCAGTCAGTCCAACACAGAGACACCCCCCCCCCCCCCCCCCCCCCCCCCCCCCCCCCCCCCCCC